TACCTTCACAAGGTGACAAAGATGTCCTTATGTTCTGATGTTTATATCCCGTTTGTTATAACTGTATATTTCCTCTGTTTTCTTAGTTGAGTGCTGCAAGTAACACACGTGCAGGTGAACGGCAGAGTTTGTCCTTGATTTGCGGCCAATGGGAATGGAGTCCGAAGCTGCCCTGGAAAGGAAATTGGCTTTCGCTCGACTTGGCCTCCGCCACCTGGATCTTGCGTCCAGTCTCGACCTTTTACAGGGCACGTGAGGCGGAAGTATCCCGCCTCTCCGCAAATGGCATGCCTGGAAGATAGCGGCTGCGATTCGCTTTTCGAATCGGGCGATGGCACCTGGCCGGGGCTCGTGACGGTGCACGCGAGCAGTTCCAGTTGCATGCGCGGCGAGCCCACGTGACACGGCAGCAATACCTTCTTCCCCCCCCCCGCCCCGAGTCAAGGAGACCAATGTGCATTCGAGCCGCACATTAGCCCCACCTTCGAGCGATAGAATCCCCCCGAGCAGCGAGTGAGCTTTTTCATATACCGCAACCATTTCTCCTACATCCCAGGTGAACTTGTCACTCTGCTGCTCGGTTGGAAATACGGATTCTTGCTGCCAGCCAAGGCCACACCACGCTGCTCCTCCAAGCCCTGAACAGGAACGCACCTTGGTGGTCGATTCTTGCGGCTTCTTAGGCCATCTCTCTCCACGGTTTCTAGCGGGGCCCGGCACATCCCATGGCGTTCCGACGTGTCCTTAGTCGCGTTGCGTCGTCTGTCCGACAGGTTCGAGCCTCGTTCGTTCCGGTTTGACGATCCGATGGACTCTCGTCTCTTTTACCCAACAAGTACTATGCGAAGCGTCCCCTTGGAGTTTTAAAGTATCAATATTGTCCGTGCTGCCGCCCTCACTCCCTCCTGAACTCTGCTACCACTCCCCGCCCTCCCCCCCCCCCCCCCCTCCTCTCCCTCCTCCGCGCGCCACCAGACATCCAAGCCCCGCGACGTTATCAAGGCGGTCGAGGACGCCGCGCCGCACCGCCTCTCCTCCACGGTACGCCCACGCACCGCCTCCCCTTCCGACATGCCATCTGCCGCCTTCTCGCGGCATTGCATTGTCTGGACGCGCGTTGCACATTGACCGGCTGATCTTATCTTCCCTACTAGCTCCTCGGCCCTTCCCCACGCCCAGCCCTCATTCCCAACCCTGCCATGACCCCGCCCCTTGACGCGTCGCCTGCGCGCCGCACGTGCAGCTGCCGCAGCGCGTGCCGGAGCTGGTGGATTTGCGCGACACGATGGAGGAGGTGGTGCCGGAGCAGCGAGAGCGGCTGGCGGAGATTAAAGCCAAGCACGGCGACATGGTGCTGGGCGACGTCACTGTCAACATGGTGCGCCCCCCCTCTCTCATGCCTCGGTGCGGTGAACATGGTGCGCATGCCTCGTTGCTCCCCCTCTATCCCTCCCCGCGCCGTCGTCCGTTTCTTCAATCGTCGCAGTCTTTAGCAAACGCGAAACATTACCTTTCGTTGCAACGTGCCACGTGGCAGGCCCTGGGCGGAATGCGCGGCATCAAGGGCCTTCTTTGGGAGACGTCACAGCTCGACCCGCTCCAGGTGCGCCCTATCGCACGACCATATCTGACGTCTATCAGACGCTGTCACCCGCGTTTTTCCTTATCCGCCCCCGTTGTTGAGGATGTATTGGCGTGCTTCCCGTTTCTTTATGCTCTCCCCCTCCCTCCCCCCTCTCCCCTTCGCCCCCGCGCCAACGTCCCTCGTCCCCCTGTCCCCCGCCCCAGGGCATCAAGTTCCGCGGGCTTAGCATCCTGAGTGCCAGGCGCAGCTGCCCTCCGCGCTCGACGGCGGCCAGCCGCTGCCCGAGGCGCTTCTGTGGCTGCTGCTCACGGGGGAGGTGCGTGGGGGTGACTATAGCAGGGTGACTTTAGCGGGGTGACTATAGCGGGGCTGACACTAACGAGGTTGGTGAAATGGAGTGATCAAAAGCATTTTCAACCGGGGCGGTTTCAACGTGCGGGTGGGGGGATGGGGTCGTTGCCCCACGGATGTCATCAGGTGCGCCGCAATGTCCCCATCCATGCGTCCATCATCCATGCGTCCATCATCCATGCGTCCATCATCCATGCGTCCATCATCCATGCGTCCATCATCCATGCGCCCATCATCCATGCGTCCATCATCCATGCGTCCATCATCCATGCGTCCATCATCCAGGCGTCTCATACCACCTCCTCCACTGCCCGCCATTCTCCACCCAAATCCGCGCTCTCCGTTCCCCCGCCACCCGTCTTTCAACTCTTCCCCTCCCTCGCGCCTCCCCCCTCGCCCCTCTCCCGCCGCCGTGCCCCCCATGGCCCCATCAGGTGCCCACGGAGGACCAGGCCGTGTCGCTCGCCGTGGAGCTGCAGGACAGAGCCGCGCTGCCAGGTGATTATAACGGGGATATTTTGTAAGCGAGGCGCCAGTGATTTGCATGATAGAATGAGACCAGGTGATTGTAACGGGTGTGACTCACTCAAAGTGGCTCCTGGCTTGAGCATTGCTCTCACAACCCCGCTCACCTCTCCTCATGCCCACTACCCTCTCTGCCCCTCTCCCTGCATGCCACGTGGCAGCCTCCGCATTGTCAGCAGGGCTTGCGCTAGCAAACTCAAAACACCTTATTCAAGCTCGCTCCCCCTATTCTCCTCATTACCGCGCCCCCCTCTCTCCCTCTCTCCCTCTCTCCCTCTCTCCCTCTCTCCCTCTCTCCCTCTCCCCCCTCCCCTCCCCCCTCCCACCAGACGCGGTGTGTCAGGTGCTGTGGTCCCTACCCCCGTCGCTGCACCCCATGTCGCAGCTCTCCATAGCCGTGCTCGCCCTCCAACGCACCTCCACCTTCGCCGCCGCCTACCACCGAGGCGCGCACAAGAGAACCTCTGGCGCTACGCGCTGGACGACAGTCTGGATCTCATTGCCGCCCTGCCCGGAGATCGCCGCCCGGATCTACAACCGCAGCTGCAAGGAGGGCGGCGCCGCGGCCGCGTGCGGGCGCGGGAGGATCTGGACTATGCGGGAATCTGGCGCATATGATGGGGTTCGATGACGAGCGCATGGACGAACTCATGCGCCTCTACCTCACCATCCACGCGTGAGTCACTGTTCATGGTGCTTCGGATTGCCGCGGGCGCTCCGGTATTGCTCCCTCTCAAGCTGCACTCACCTTACCTGGCTGTCTGCTGCGCGCCACTGCCTGCAGGGACCACGAGGGCGGCAACGTGAGCGCGCATGCCACCCACCTGGTGGGATCGGCGCTCTCCGACCCTTCCTCGCCCTCTCCGCCGGCCTCAAATGGGCTCGCCGCCCGCTGCATGGCTGGCCAATCAGGTGAGAGCTGGGCGCACAGATAGGCATATTACTGACTCTCCCAGCCCATTCCTTGTCCGCTTATGTCCACCATCTGTCACTGCCCTGTGTTCACCATGCCCTGTTCACCATGCCCCTGTTCACCATGCCCTGTTCACCATGCCCTGTTCACCATGCCCCTGTTCACCATGCCCTGTTCACCATGCCCTGTTCACCATGCCCTGTTCACCATGCCCTGTTCACCATGCCCTGTTCACCATGCCCTGTTCACCATGCCCTGTTCACCATGCCCTGTTCACCATGCCCTGTTCACCATGCCCTGTTCACCATGCCCTGTTCACCATGCCCTGTTCACCATGCCCTGTTCACCATGCCCTGTTCACCATGCCCTGTTCACCATGCCCTGTTCACCATGCCCTGTTCACCATGCCCTGTTCACCATGCCCTGTTCACCATGCCCTGTTCACCATGCCCTGTTCACCATGCCCTGTTCACCATGCCCTGTTCACCATGTGCACCGCCTCCCCATCCCACTCGCCTGCCACCGCATCTCTCCACTGGAGCACCCCATCACGCCACCTCCCCACTCCCCGTTCACTCTTCCCCACTTCCAATCACTCCCCCTTCCCCCTCCCAACCCCCCCAACACCAGGAGGTGGTGGCGTGGCAGCACGGTGTGACAGCAGAGGTGGGAGAGCAGCCACCAAAGGAGCAGTTGGCGAGCACGTGAGGCAAGGCCTTCCCCAACCCTCCTTTCCCCTGCCCTGCACCCCTCACCTCCCCACCCCCCCCCAACACCAGGAGGTGGTGGCATGGCTGCACGGTCTGCGGGCAGAGCTGGGGGAGCGGCCCACTAAGGAGCAGCTAGGGGAGCACGTGAGGCGCGGGCTGGCGCGGGGCGCGTGGTGCCGGGGTATGGCCATGCCGTGCTGCGCGTGACGGACCCGCGCTACACGTGCCAACGGGAGTTCGCGCTCCAACACATGCCAGACGACCCTATGGTGGCAGCTGGTGAGCGCCTTACGATTTTTTAGTCGACAAAAAAATCGACCCCCATGGTGTTGGTGAGAGCCAGACGACCACATGGTGCAGCTGGTGAGAGCTGTTTGGGGACGGGTGCGGCATGCATTGGCATGCCAGAGAGTGGACCTGTTTTTGAGGCGCCTCAAAAATAGACTGCCAGAGAGTGGACCTGTTCTTCTGTTTTTTCTTTCTTTCCTTTTAGGTGGTTGATTTTTTCTCTCACACCACTGTCCTCCCACTCAAGTGCTGCCTCGCTGTACCGCCCATCATGGTTGAAATTATTGCCCCCACTGCATGGTTGCATCTCTGCCATGGTTGCATGTGTGCCATGCTTGCAGGTATCGGACCCTCTATGAAGTGGTGCCGCCCATACTGAGAGAGACAGGCAAGGTGAGACGGAGATATGGGCAGGATATGGGCCTGCAAGCGGACAGGGGGGATCGGCAAGGGGGGGGTTGGGTGTGAGACGGACCTCCACCAGGTGGTGCTGCGCATTCTCCAGGGGGACAGGCAGGGTGAGAGGGGCAAAGGGGGGCAGCGACCCAGGAACGGTTGGGGGGTGATCGTGGTTGCGACCTGTGCCCCATGCTGCCGCCCATATTGACGTTTGGGCGGAGCGTTCCCAGCAGCGCATACCCGCCCCGTCGTGTCCCGTGCCGCTTTCCTGTTCCCTTCTCTTCGCGCCACATGCCCGTCCATCCCCCGTGCATCCTCTCCTCCATCCCCCATGCATCCTCTCCTCCATCCCTCCTGTCCGCGAACCACGTGCATGTGAGCAGGTGCAGAACCCCTGGCCCAACGTGGACGCGCACAGCGGCGTGCTGCTGCGCCACCTGGGGCTCACCAAACGCCAAGTGAGTGCGGAGTGATCAGCTGGGGAGCTTCTCATGAGGGGCTAACGACGAGGGAAAGCCAGAGGCTGTGAGCATGCTGTCCTCATCGCCCCCTTCCTTCGCTGTATCTACCGCTTTCCCAGCACTGCACCTCTCTCCTCTCCCCCTTCTCCTCTCTCCCCCCCCCCCACCCCCCCACCCGCCGCCCCATCCCCCCAGCTTCTACACGGTGCTCTTTGGCGTCTCCCGAGCCATGGGCGTGCTCTCCCAGGTGAGATCTCGTGCTCTCCCAGGTGAGCTCTTGAGGGGGCGTGGTGGTGAGGAGTTGTTTGCCGAGGTGAATCGAGTGGGCTTGTCATGGGGTGATGTGGTTGCGAGACAGTGATGGGGTGAGTGGTACCTAACAGCAACTCTGTCTTCCCCTCCCCGTCCCTTCCCCTCATCAGCTGGAATGGGACCGTGCCTTGGGATTGCCATAAAATCGAGCCAAGAGCATGGCTATCCCCCTCATACTCCCTCTCTCCCTCACACCCCGCTCTTCCCTCCTTCCCCCATCAGCTGGTGTGGGACCGGGCCTTGGGATTGCCGCTGGAGCGGCCCAAGAGTGTCACCATGGACTGGATTCAGCAGGAGGCTGCAGACAGGGGCTTTAATGGCGACGCTCATCCGGACACGCATGCCACCAAGGCTGCTGTATGAACCGCCATACATCCCATGGCCCAACCTTCCTCCCATCCCAGCCAAGCTGGTGGGACAGTTTCCGCTTTCATTTCACTTGTGCACACACCGTGTGGGGATGGTTTCCGTTGTGGCGTGCTGTTGGATCGCATGGTATTGTCAGCCGTGTAAGGCCACAGCAACCCACTGTACTAAATGTTTGTTTTGTGTATATAAGTGCCAAGAAGTGGTGTTCAGGAACTGATGAGATTATTGAATGTTGCAGCCTCACAGGTTGCCCGCTGCCCGTGTGTTGTACAAGCTGACTGAGTTGCTACAACGGTAATCACAACACAAATTGTTAGACCTGACTCATGCACCCATTTGAACTGGTGTATGCAGGGTATATACCATGTGAATTCAACATGTATATACCTACTCCAAGTTACAGAGTTTCATGTTGAGAGGTATAAGGGAAACACCACCCATGCTGCTTCGGGTCTGTGAGGGCGTATTTCAGGCATTTCATCTCCGAATTTAGAAAGCAATGCTGTCCAGCAATGCTGGCCTCCAAAACTATCACTGACAGCTGAACAACCATTTTACTGACAGCAGCAAGAAATCCGGGGTGACACACAGCCAAGATTGCACCAGGAATCCGGTCCCCAAAAGGCCTTTCTTTTCCGTATCTTTATTGCGGTCCAAGTGCGGAGTTGGTGAAACGGGCGATATTTTCTACCCCGATGACTCGTACAGCGTCAGCAGCACGTGTCACGCTGTCAAACCGAACCGTTGGAATTTGGACCCACTCGAACCTTTGGCTTGTCTGTTTGTTGATCGTACAGCTGGTGCAATAAAGAGCACGTGCTTTTCTCCAGGGCTGCTGCTTCTGTGTTTTGTTGTGCACCAGGGCTCTCGCTAAGGCCTGGGGTATTCCGTTAGGTCACGGAATCGGCCCCGAAATTACCGTTAGCGGACGGAATCTCCGGAACATTACTCATTAATTAAAAACGGATTCGTCGAAGAGCTACTTTTGGTGTGATACTAACAGCCCCCAGGAACTGTATCTCACACATATATGCCTCAGGCGATTGGAAGGGTGGGAAAACTTCCCACTAAGTAGCTTCTAGGGGAGGTGGGAGTGGGGGATACATACAGATCTCCAACTACAAGTGCGATTCGTATGGAATGAAAGAAACGTAGCCCGTAATGTCAGGAAATCACACGAGATTGATCCGTTAGGCAGACAGAATCAGGAAAACGTTATCATGCCGAAAAACGGAATTAGGTCTAAAACAACTCTTAATTTCGCGACATAAAGGATAATTGCCCTGTTAGCCAGTGCGCTGTTGTGCAGCGCACCCCATCACCTTGCTGTTCACGGCGTGCTGGGCCGTGTGCGGTGGAAGTGCGTTACTGTTGAAGAACTTTGGATGCTTGTGGTTGGTCCCTCGCTCCAGCGCGGACATTGCTTGCTTCACCAGCCGCGAAATTCAACCTCAGCCATTTGACGTGCGTTACAGAACACATCCACTCCTGTGTCTTGTTGAGGCGATCTCGCCGCAGGATGACGAAACAGCGGCCTGTGGCTGTCGTTCGTTACAGGTCGGCGGTAATGCCGCATCGAACCACGCGTGGTTTTCGGCCCTTTCCCAACATTTTCGCTTGGCGTGTGCATAACCAATGCACGAGCTTGTCCTCGTTTACACATCAACTACAGCAGCAACCCTACGCAGCCATCAGGGAGGAAGATACAGTGTCTCTTCCTCCTGCCCATAATGTTGCCTTTCCCAAAACCCCGAAGTCCCTAAGTAATAAACTGGTCGTAGTAAAGTTTCTACCCTGTTAAGTTTAGGAATGTTTAGTCTTCCACCACGAAGGAAGTGACCGGGCTTGTCAATGTCATCCCCCAACAAACATCGCTCCCTCAGTGCGGCGCTGTTCATTCGCGTTGGTTGGTGGGTGGGTGTGTGTGTGTGGAGGTGTGGATAACGAAACGATGCCCACCTCTGTTCATCCACGGCACGTGAAGGGAAGGGATAAACTCAAGAGCGCCCAGCAGCAGTTTAGCGACTCGACAGTCACTGCACGGCCCACACCTCGTCCGACTCGAGTTTCCGAGCCAGCATGGACAGAGCTGTGGTGGCGGTGAAGGGAGAGACATCCTACAAAAAGATAAACAATCGAGAAAGGTCAGACACCGTCGTTTAGTTTCGACAGCTCACTCCTCCAGCTCCAGGCTACATCAACTCTGCTCCCGCAACACTTCACAGCTGGAACCCTCCACGCGCCCATCACACGCAGCTGTATCCACTAAGCTCATTTCCCGTCTGAACCTTCCGCGAGTACTACCTAGTGTTTACGAAAAAGCATGGCAACGGCCACAGCGAGTCCGTGGGGCGACGAGTCCGCAGCCCCCACTTCAACAAGTTCGCGCTGCGCGGATCAGGCGGCGTCGAGGGCGCCGCCATGGGCAAGGACGAGTGGCGCAAGCAGCTGCCCGCGCTCGTAAATGCCGCCGATCCGCGCTTCCCCGACAGCGCGGTAGATCTTTCCGACATCTGTGGCGATTCCGACTCCGACAGCGTGGCGAACCTCTCCGACATCTGCGGATTCAACGACCTCAACTCGCCGCGCTCCGCCCTCTCCTCCCTCGAAGCGGTCTCGGCAGCGCGCCGAGCTCCCAGCCCAACTCGGCGAACAACTCGGGGGCGCTGTCTATAATCTCCGATGCCCCGTCCAACGCGTCGTCCGGTTCGAACAGCCGCCCGTCGACCGGCCGCGTGTCGCTCGCGCAGCAGCTGCTGCAGCAGCAGATGGGCGGCAACGCGCGGTTCACGTCCGCTAATTCCGGGAGCAAGGGCACCACCGTGGCGTCCGTAACGGGAATAAGCGACTATGGCAACTACAGCGGGTCGCCCGTGACGCCGCTCATGCCGGGCTTCAGCTGCGCGTCGTCGGAGGCATCGGGTAACCAGTCGCCGATGAATCGCGCGTGGCGACAATCGAGCGACCCTCGTGCGGTGTCGCATCAGTCGGCGACGATGAGGGAATCATCGCTTCGTGAGAAGCTCCTGCGAGCCAGCAGCGCGGCTGCCTCAGAAAGTGAGTAACGTGAAACTTTCCCCTCTTTACAGCTGACTATTTTGCTTACTATTGCACCGGCCGGCTGTGAGCGACACATGATTCAAGCGACGAGGTTACTAACCTGTGCTCTTTCCTCTCTCCCTATCTCTTCTCTCCAGCCTCCTCGCAGAGCTCATGGCACGAGCACCAATCGCAAGCCGCGTCCGCCTATTCCATCTCCGAGTGTACCGCCGCGAACGACGCCTACTATTGCGAGCCGGGTGAGAACGAGCAAGGCGAGCTCGACTTTTCCGACATTAAGTCTGTCTGCCTCAACTTCGACGAGGCGCAGCAGCAATCCGAAGAATGGAATTCCAGCGCGCGCGCCTCGAGACCGTCGACATCGTCCCCCTCGCGTCGGGCTCGAGAAATAGATTTATGTTGGGGGCAGGAGCCAATCTGCCCGAACACGTTCTCTTCGCGCTTACGTTCTCCGATTCCCCCGCCCTTCACCTCCCCGGCGACGAATCCATCCAAAAGCTTTTCCCGAATCACATGCAGCAGCGCGCGGCGCAGGACAAGCCGCAAGGCCCCCCGAAAGGCGCCGGGTTCGGCGGTTACGGAGCCACGAAACGGACGGAGATATTTCCCAGCTACCTAAGAAGCAACGCAGGTAGCTCCGCCGCGGCGTGCGGCATACCCAGCTACGGCAGCTATGCGTGAGCGAGAGCACGCTCGGAGGGCCTGGCTGGTATGCACTAGGGAACGACGACGCTAGCTGGGCGGTCCGCCCGGGGGACCATGATGGTCGGTCGCTCTCCTCTGCCCGGGCTCGCCGCGATGATGAGAAATTCGGCTCGGATACGAGTTTTTTCATCCAGAGTCCATTAGTGGAGTGTCCGCGCCTTGGGAGACTATCGAGGCCCTCGCAGCGACGCAGGCATAGTGGAAAAGGGGCCATGGATGAAGGCGCCGCTAACACCGTGATCCCAGCCAACAGCAGAATCTGACTGACCGGAACATGCGCAGGGACGCGCCGGAGGGGAGAGTCGGGGTTTTGCGGGGTTGCATGCCGCGACCGCGTGGGTGGAAATTGGAATGCTCTCACTTGAGCCGTTTCTGTGTATAGTATATTGTTTGTAGATCTTTCTATGTAAAAATATGCTATATGGTACAGTGAATAATAATTACACATCAATACTTTTACTAATGACAGATTCGTTGACGCCCCCCTCCTCAGTAGGCAAATGATGTCCGACCACGTGTCCTTGTACTGCTCGCGCCACTGCACGACTTCCGGAATTTTCAGGCAAATGTGCACGGTTGCGTCGTGCTGCTCACGTCGCCATGGCAGCCTCTTATAGCGCCTCGACTTGTCAACGCGTGAAATCCACCGCTCTTTCCGCATTCCCTCCCTTACAAGATCTCCGATCTTCTCGAAGCTACTCCTTCCCCACCAGGCTTCGTCTGATAGGCCGCGTGCCACAGCGCGGCGAGCATGGAAGTTCTTCCGCTACCGCGCAGTCAGCCGTTGGCGGACGAATTCCGCGCGCGGCCCTGCGTGTGCGGCGGCTGTCCACGACTGGCGGCGGTCGAAGCGCCGCGTCCCGCGAGTTCCGCAGGCGGTCGAGTTTAGCGCCCCGCGCTGTTCCCCTGAGCGCGCCAGCCCCCCGGACTCCCCGCTCCTTCCGCGTCTTTGGGGGACGCCGTGGAGCAAATGAGAGGGCCCGCAGCAGCGCGGGATGCGGAAGGAGGGGGGAGGGACGGTAGGTCGGAGGACGAAGGGGGAGGAGGGTGGTGGGAGTGGGGGACGGGGGAAGGGCAAGGGGAAGGACAGGGGGAAGGGCAAGGGGAAGGGCAGGGGGAAGGGCAAGGGGAAGCAGAGGCGGAGGGGGAAGGGTGGGATGCAACATTTGCGACGTGGCAGTCAGAGGAGGGGGAAGGCGGGAAGGAGCTGTCAGGCGGGTGGTCGTCCGACGAGGAGATGACCAAGAGGTTCCGACTGAGGAACGGGCGCGAGGTGCGCGGGGGAGGGGGGCTTGAGGATTGCCACTTGGGGATGGGATGTGGCATGGGGGATGTCGCATGTGGGATGTGGGATGGGAGTCTGTGAAGCACTATGAGGGCTGCAGACGTTTGGGGGGTTACCTGTCTCATGGAGATTGGACGGTGGGGCGGCGTGCCATTTGGGGGGGTGGGCCATGTGGGCAGGAGGCAAGAGCCCTGTGCCCGTCCACGCTCACTTGCTTACCTCTCACTTGCTTGCTTCTGCGCTCAATTTGCTTCCGTCCAAAGCCTGCACTCCTCCCCCCCCCCCCCCCCCACCCCCCCGGCAGATCCTAGAGGAGCGCGCCTTCCTGGTGGGTGTGGAGATCAGCGCATCGACATCACGCGCCACCTCCTCCTCCCTTTCCTCCTCCCCTGCCGTGCCTCTCTTCCCCATTGCCGAGTCACTAGCGGAGCTCGCCCAGCTGGTGGAGACGGCAGGGCTCAAGGTGGTGGGGTCCACGCACCAGAGGTAAAGGGGCAAGGCGAATGGCGATCCTCCTTCCTCCCTTCTCCCCAATCCCTCCCCCGCCCCTCCTCTCCTCCCCCTCGTTGAGTCGCTAGCAGAGCTCTCGCACCTGGCGGAAGCTGCAGGGCTCAAGGTGGTGGGGTCCAAGCACGAGAGGTGAAGGGGCGAGATGGTGCATTGTCCGTTCCATGCTCCGGGCTTTTGATTCGACTCTGAAGGTGGTGGGCTGCGCGCACCAGAGGCAGAGTGGTATAGTTCAGCCGAAGCGTGGGCCGAGATGTTCTCCCATGTCACCGCCAGAGCTCTCCCAACTAGAGGGACTGCTGGTTGGTTGGACGTGCCGGGCGCTCCACGCACCAGCAGTGCGGGTGTTTTAACCTTCTAAGGGGTAGGCGGTGCGAAGCGGACAGCTGCATGCCCGCTGCATCGATGCGGGGTCCTTGGGGTGCAGCCCTTTCTCTCGTCCTCTCATCCGCTCCACCACTCTCCTTCCCCCACCCCCTCCCCCCCCAGAGTCACGCCCTGGGTGGAGCAAGGAGGGGGAGGTGGCGGCAGCAGCAGTCATTGGCTCGTTGGGCCGGCCATACAGCCCACGCTCTTCGTGTCTCCCTTTCCTCCTCCTCTGCAACCCCTCTCCTCTTTATCCCAGAGTGGCGTTCCCCAACGCGAGCACGTACATCTGGGCGGGCAAGGTGGAGGGGGTCGGGGCGGCAGTCAGAGCAACCACAATGACTCAAGGCGCTACAATGCGCCCCTCTCCCCCTCCCCCCCCCTCCCCCCTCCCCTCTTTTTTCTCCTCTGGGCGATTGCCAGAGTGGCATCCCCCAACGCGCGCACGTACATCGGGGCGGGCAAGGTGGAGGAGGTGAAAGCAGCGGTCACGGGCATGGGCGTTGAGACAGTGGTGTTCGACGACGAGCTCAGCGCGGGGTGAGTGCTCACCGCGGCTGATTGGGGCTCAGTGGGGCTCAGTGGGGCTCACTGAGGCTAGCTCTGTGAGGGTTGAGTGGTTGTGAGGGGTGAGTGGTTGTGAGGGGTGGGTGGGGGCTGGAGGGCGTTGGCCTGTGCGCCAGAGGCATGGGCGTTGAGACGGTGCTCTTGGACAACGAGCTCAGCATGGGGTGAGTGGGGCGGGCGTCTAGTTGGATGTCGTTTTGTGTGCATGTGTGTGGATTGGGGTGTGTGTGTCATACCTGTGCGTGTCTCCCTTGCCTATGTGTCACAATACATCTGCATGGTGCCAACTATAATTGTCTCCTTCCCCTTCTATTTTCCGCCTGTACCCCCCTCCCCCCCCCCGCACACAGCCAGCTGCGCAACTTGGAAAAGGAGTTCGGGGGCGACGTGCGGGTGTGCGACCGCACGGCGCTGATCATCGACATCTTCAGCCAGCGCGCCAACACCAAGGAGGCCACGCTGCAGGTCAGAGCGCCATGCCACGCTGCAGGTAAGAGCGCCATGCCACGCTGCAGGTCAGAGCCCAGCCACGCTGCAGTCAGAGCGCCATGCCACGCTGCAGGTCAGAGCGCCATGCCACGCTGCAGGTCAGAGCGCCATGCCACGCTGCAGGTCAGAGCGCCATGCCACGCTGCAGGTCAGAGCGCCATGCCACGCTGCAGGTCAGAGCGCCATGCCACGCTGCAGGTCAGAGCGCCATGCCACGCTGCAGTCAGAGCGCCATCACGCTGCAGGTCAGAGCGCCATGCCACGCTGCAGGTCAGAGCGCCATGCCACGCTGCAGGTCAGAGCGCCATGCCACGCTGCAGGTCAGAGCGCCATGCCACGCTGCAGGTCAGAGCGCCATGCCACGCTGCAGGTCAAGAGCGCCATGACCCACGCTGCAGGTCAGAGCGCCATGCCACGCTGCAGGTACAGAGCGCCATGCCACGCTGCAGGTCAGAGCGCCATGCCACGCTGCAGGTCAGAGCGCCATGCCACGCTGCAGGTCAGAGCGCCATGCCACGCTGCAGGTCAGAGCGCCATGCCACGCTGCAGGTCAGAGCGCCATGCCACGCTGCAGGTCAGAGCGCCATGCCACGCTGCAGGTGGGGGATGGGGAATGCTCGCAGTGAGAAGCTTGGAGGGGGCTTGCATGGGGGGATGGCATTGACATCACATTGAGAGATGACTTCATCGACATCTTCAGCCAACGCGCCAACACCAAGGAGGCCACGTTACAGGTAAGAGCGCCATGCCATGCCCTGCCATGCCATGCCACACCATGCCATGCCATGCCATGCCATGCCATGCCACGCCATGCCATGCCATGCCATGCCATGCCACGCCACGCCATGCCATGCCGTGCCATGCCACGCCATGCCATGCCGTGCTGACCTTGCTGTGTGGTGGCGCTCTCTCAGCACTCCATGCGCTCCCAACATATGCCTTCCTTCCCTTCGCCCCCCCCTGCTTGTGAACCTCCCTACTTGCCCCCTGTCCCGCCCCCCAGGTGCAGCTGGCCCAGCTGGAGTACCAGCTGCCGCGCCTGACGCGCATGTGGACGCATCTGGAGCGGCAGGCGGGCGGCATGGTGAAGGGCATGGGGAGAAGCAGATCGAGGTGGACAAGCGCATCATCCGCGAGCGGGTGGGTGAGGGTTGAGTGTGGGGGGATGAGGGAAGGGGGAGGATGGGTTGACTTGACACGGCATGGGGGAGGGAGGGCATGGGGGAGAAGCAGATCGAATCGAAGTGGATAAACGGATCATCCGAGAACGGGTGAGAAGGGAGGGAGTGTGTGGGGGTGAGGGAGGGTGGCAGCCCAACAGGGGTATGGGAAGGGCATGGGGGAGGGCATGGGGAAGGGCATGGGGGAGAAGCAGATGGAGTTGGACAAGGCCATAATCAGAGAACGGGTGAGAAGGAGAGGGGTAGAAAAAACGGAGGGGGGGGAGATGGGTTTGGAGGGGGGAGGGGGTGTATGAAAGGGATGCGAGCTCGTTTCGAGGTCCCTGCTGTTTCTCCCTTGTCTTCACCCTCCCTCCTCCCTCTCCCACCCCCCCTCTTCCCTCCCTTCCCTTTCACCGGATGGTTGCCCTGCGCTGCAGCCTCCCATCGCTGCAGCCTCTCATCGCTGCAGCCTCTCATCGCTGCCGCAGCACCACCTGCAGCACCGCAATCTGTGGTCAGGATTTTTCATCCTCTATCCTTCGCCCATGCTCCCTCTGCCTCCCAACCCGCTTCACAGATGGCTGCGCTGCGCCGCAGCCTCACATCAGTTCGGGAGCACCGGCAGCAGCACCGCGACCGGCGCAGCGGCACGCCCATCCCGGTGCTGTCACTGGTGGGGTACACCAACGCCGGCAAGAGCACGCTGCTCAACCGCCTCACGGGCGCCGCCGTGCTGGCGGAAGACAAGCTCTTTGCCACCCTTGACCCCACCACTCGCCGCACCCAGGTGGGTGCCCCTTGCACCCCTCGCGCTCCTCGCACTCTCCTCTGCTGCTCAGCCGTCTCACGGGTGCTGCCGTGCTGACGGAGCTCAAGCTCTTCGCCACGCTCGACCCCCACCACTCGGCGCGCCCAGGTGCATGGCTCTTGTCTCTTTCGTGCTCTGCGTGCTGTCCCCGGTGGGGCAGGACCACGCTGCTCAACCGCCCAAAGGCGCCGGCGCGCTGTTCGCTACTCTGGACCCCACCACCCGCGGCGCCCAGGTGCGAGCTTGCTGTCTCTTGCCCTGTCTCTATCTGCTGCTCAGCGCTTCCTTTCTCCAGCGCCGGAACAAGAGCACCAAGCCGTGTCTTTCGACTGGCCCTATGCCTGGCCGTATGCCTATGTCTTCTATGGAGCAGCACTCATTACCCCCTTTTGGCCCGATTCCATCCCTCCTCGCCCCTCCCCTCTCCCCTCCACCGTCCCCCCAGCTGCCCAACAGCAAGGAGTGCCGGCTGACGTACACGGTGGCCTTCATTCACCTCCTCCTTACCCCATTCACACTTACCTCCTCTCCCCCCCCCCCCTCCCCTCTTTCAACAGCTGCCCAACGGTAAGGAGTGTCTGCTGACGGACACCGTGGGCTTCATTCAGAAGCTGCCAACGCAGCTGGTGAGCCGAGCCCAGGGGCGAGGCAGGTGGGTGGGATGGGAGGGGGGGATAGAGGGCAGGTGGTGGGATGGGGAAGGGGGCACGCAGGCTGACGTGGGGAAGGGGCCCTCTGCCTCTTCTCCTTCATCTCTCTTCACTGTTCTGCACCGCTCTGCACCCCCTCTTGGCGCCCTTTAGCCACTCTACTGCCCCTCCATTTGCAATGCTCTAATACGCCGTTGCCTGATGCGTGGTGCATGCGTGTGAATCCCAACCATCCAATGATCTCGTGCCAGGTGGCAGCCTTTCGAGCCACTCTGGAGGAAATCACCGAGGCATCTGTGCTGCTGCATGTGGTGGACATCAGGTGAGATGTCAGGTGAAATGTCAGACAAATGTCAGGCGAGATGTCAGGTGAGATTTCAGGTGAAATGCTTGAATTCTAGCAGACATGGGCAGCAGGGCTTAGAACGTTTGTGAGTAGGTTTCAGGGGAAGTGTCAGGTGAAAGCTCAGGGGAGCTGAACCAGCACGACATCCCCTGATTGCCCATTGTCTGATCCTGCCCCACATACTCCCTCCTCCCGACTTTCTTTTGCCTCCTCCGACTTTCTTGCCTCCTACCAACTTTCTTTGGCCCTTGCCTACCGACTTTCTTTGCCTCCCTTTCTTGCCTCCTACCGACTTTCTTTGCCGCTTCTTCTCTACCGACTTTCTTTGCCTCCTACCCGACTTTCTTTGTCTCTTTCCTACCCGACTTTCTTTGCCTCCCGGACTTCTTTGCCTCCTTCCGACTTTCTTTGCCTCTCGACTTTCTTTGCCTCACTTTCTCCGAACTTTCTTTGCCTCCTCCCGACTTTTTGCCTCTACCGACTTTTCCTTTGCTCTTCCTTCCCGACTTTCTTTGCCTCCTACCGACTTTCTTTGCCTCCTCCCGACTTTCTTTGCCTCCTACCGACTTTCTTTGCCTCCTCCCGACTTTCTTTGCCTCCTACCGACTTTCTTTGCCTCCTCCCGACTTTCTTTGCCTCCTACCGACTTTCTTTGCCTCCTCCCGACTTTCTTTGCCTCCTACCGACTTTCTTTGCCTCCTACCGACTTTCTTTGCCTCCTCCCGACTTTCTTTGCCTCCTACCGACTTTCTTTGCCTCCTCCCGACTTTCTTTGCCTCCTACCGACTTTCTTTGCCTCCTACCGACTTTCTTTGCCTCCTCCGACTTTCTTTGCCTCCTACCGACTTTCTTTGCCTCCTAGCAGCTTTCTTTGCCTCCTACCGACTTTCTTTGCCTCCTCCCGACTTTCTTTGCCTCCTACCGACTTTCTTTGCCTCCTCCCGACTTTCTTTGCCTCCTACCGACTTTCTTTGCCTCCTACCGACTTTCTTTGCCTCCCCGACTTTCTTTGCCTCCTCCCGACTTTCTTTGCCTCCTACCGACTTTCTTTGCCTCCTCCCGACTTTCTTTGCCTCCTACCGACTTTCTTTGCCTCCTCCGACTTTCTTTGCCTCCTACCGACTTTCTTTGCCTCCTCCCGACTTTCTTTGCCTCCTACCGACTTTCTTTGCCTCCTACCGACTTTCTTTGCCTCTCCCGACTTTCTTTGCCTCCTACCGACTTTCTTTGCCTCCTACCCGACTTTCTTTGCCTCCTACCGACTTTCTTTGCCTCCTACCGACTTTCTTTGCCTCCTCCCGACTTTCTTTGCCTCCTACCGACTTTCTTTGCCTCCTCCGACTTTCTTTGCCTCCTCCCGACTTTCTTTGCCTCCTACCGACTTTCTTTGCCTCCTACCGACTTTCTTTGCCTCCTCCCGACTTTCTTTGCCTCCTACCGACTTTCTTTGCCTCCTCCCGACTTTCTTTGCCTCCTCCGACTTTCTTTGCCTCCTACCGACTTTCTTTGCCTTCCCGACTTTCTTTGCCTCCTCCGACTTTCTTTGCCTCCTCCGACTTTCTTTGCCTCCTCCCGACTTTCTTTGCCTCCTACCGACTTTCTTTGCCTCCCCCGACTTTCTTTGCTCCTCCCGACTTTCTTTGCCTCCCCGACTTTCTTTGCCTCCTACCGACTTTCTTTGCCTCCTACCGACTTTCTTTGCCTCCTCCGACTTTCTTTGCCTCCTACCGACTTTCTTTGCCTCCTCCGACTTTCTTTGCCTCCTACCGACTTTCTTTGCCTCCTCCCGACTTTCTTTGCCTCCTACCGACTTTCTTTGCCTCCTCCGACTTTCTTTGCCTCCTACCGACTTTCTTTGCCTCCTACCGACTTTCTTTGCCTCCTACCGACTTTCTTTGCCTCCTCCCGACTTTCTTTGCCTCACCGACTTTCTTTGCCTCCTACCGACTTTCTTTGCCTCCTCCGACTTTCTTTGCCTCCTACCGACTTTCTTTGCCTCCTCCGACTTTCTTTGCCTCCTACCGACTTTCTTTGCCTCCTACCGACTTTCTTTGCCTCCTCCCGACTTTCTTTGCCTCCTACCGACTTTCTTTGCCTCCTCCCTTTCTTTGCCTCCTACCGACTTTCTTTGCCTCCTCCCGACTTTCTTTGCCTCCTACCCTTTCTTTGCCTCCTCCGACTTTCTTTGCCTCCTACCGACTTTCTTTGCCTCCTCCGACTTTCTTTGCCTCCTCCCGACTTTCTTTGCCTCTCCCGGACTTTCTTTGCCTCCTACCGACTTTCTTTGCCTCCTCCCGACT